TGTGTAATGTTCCGGTGAGGAATAGATGCTATTCAGCTTCATGCGGGATCTTCATGATGGAGGTGCATAGGACACATTTTATGCTATACAATCAACTGCATCACGAAGCAAACCCTAACTTGAAATTGACAAAGTCAAATGAAAAGAGGAAGACCGAGAAATACACTGCACCGAGAATCGAAAGCAGACGTGAAAAGAATGAACAGCAATTGAATGGAATGCAATGAAAGGCTCAGGATAAAGTTGGTTAAGGAATGGTGGTCAGTGGCCTATGCTCCATTAGTAGTAATAGTCTTAAGTAAGTAAGTAAGTAAGTAAGTAAGTAAGTAAGTAAGTAAGTAAGTAAGTAAGTAAGTAAGTAAGTAAGTAAGTAAGTAGGTAAGTAAGTAAGAACTGGTGAGGAATCTCAAATTAAAATAAAATTAGCTATTCTTTACTCCTTCATTTTTAATAGTTTTTCACAGGAACATTAGTCTGTTGTAACAAAAACAATTCAAGTCTCAAAAACTTATCAACAAATCTAAATTTACATTGTATGAAAATGAATAAATGATTTATTTAGTACGTTTTTGCAAATAAATTGATAATTTAACGTAGAATAATCAATATTGATCATTGAATTTACTCTAGAATTAACAAATAATTCATTCATATAACCAATGCTCTATAAGTACTAAGGAAATATACAACGTACTAAAAAAAGCACATTTTGAATATCAATTGATTTCTTATGCATCTTTTTGTCATTCCATAGTATTGATTTATGTACAAATTCATTAATCCCTTATGAGTAATGCTGTGAGATATTCATTCCTTTGTACAAAACATTTAGATAGATATATAAGTTTATTTCATGCGTTTTGTACAGTTTTATCATTATGCACAAACAATGAAGTTCAGTTACAGTTTTTCCATAGTTGATGTAACTAGAAATTAATATCCTGAAATGGTACTGTTACTTGTTTTAAGTCCTTTGATAATTGAACAACTTATCGATTACTTTTTTTGAACTTATTTGATTACAGTGTCTTTTCCGACGTTTTTACCGTTTATGTCAGTCAACACATTCAGTTTAATGATCACTTACTTCAGATTTATTCATAATAAACTTGCATTTATTGGCATAGTTTATCTCAAGCTTTATGTTTGTCTGTCATTTCTCTAACAGAATGTTTTTAGTAACTTACAAACATGATTGTAATCCTCAGAAAGCTCTATATCACACTAATCCAAAACAATATTAGAATACAAAATGAGACTTGTTACTGTAAAGAATTCAGTTCTTAGCAAAATTTACCAGCCTTTATAGTATATATACACTTAAGAGAGCATAGAAATTATAATATGAGAAAAAACTCATTACTTTATTTAATGGTGATCACTATACTTAATTACATATTTACGCCTGTTACCCCCGATGGAGCATTGGCAGCCCTCCAACATTCTCCAACCTACTCTGTCCTGGGCCTCTCTTTCCAGTTCTGTCCAATTTTTGTTCAGTCTCCTCATGTCTGTCTCCGTTTCTCGGCGCTATGTATTCGTTAGCCTTCCTCTTTTCCTTACACCTTGCAGGTTCCAAGTGACGGCTTGTAATGCAGGTGGGTGCTTTCCTTAATGAGTGTCCTATCTACTTCTAGCGCTTTTTCCTGATTTCCTACCCCACTGGAATCTGGTTTGTTCTCTTCCATAGCAGGTTGTTTCTGATGGTGTCTGGCCAACCGATCCGAAGTATTTTGTGTAGACAACTGCTAATAAATACTTGTATCTTCTAGATGGCTCTGGTAGTTCTCTAAGTTTCTGCACCATACAGTACAACTGTTTCGACATTTGTATTGAAAATTCTGATTTTGATGTTGCTTGACAGTTGTTTTGACTTCAAGATGTTGTTCGGTTGTAGAAATGCATCCTTTGCTTTACCGATCCACTCCTTTACATCTGAACCAGATCTACCGTGCTCATCAATGATGCTGCCCAGATATGTAAGGGTTTTTACGTTCTCTTAGGCATCTCCATCAAGTGTGATTTGGTTGGTGCATGTTGTGTTGTATCAGAGAATGTTGCTTTTCCTTTTATGTCCGTTGTGACCTGCTGCTACAATGATCGTCTACTTTTGCATTGGTTGTTGCGTATGAGACAGAAGATCCAGATTATCTGCGAAGTCCAGATCGTCCAGCTACATCCCGGCTGTCCACTGTATCTTTTGCTTCCCTCCAGATGTTGACGTCTTCATAATCTAGTCGATCAGTTGGACATTAGTGTAGAGAACGCCCAAGCTATGTACAACTGAGCTGGTATCTAACGGTGTTAATGTCTAACTTCGGTCAATTCATTGTCTTGGTTAACCTCATACACTGTCTTCGGTTACCAATGCTTCACACCCGAACAGGGTTGAACTCCACTGATCGCAACTTCTCACTAGAACTCTGAAAAGATTTTTCACTGAGTTAGTCACTAGTGAGCCAGGTAATTTGCTTTATGGGGTTGTGAGGATTATTGAGATACTTTGCTAAAATCATACCGGCTCAGTGGTCCAGAGGCTTAGGCGTTCGCATGCAAAACCGGAGGTCCTAGGTTCGAATCCCGCGAGTAGCCGGAGTGGTGGATACGCACAGCTGATGAGTACTATGCGAGGACGAAACAGCTATGCAGTGCTTCCAGGTTTCTAATGATGGTCTAACATTGATCGATTCATGATGTCGATAAAGTAATATGCTATCGACATTCTATGATAAGTTTAATTATTTTCATATCGATCAAATCCGATCAATCAGTAGTGACACTATTTCATTTTAGGTCATTTGTTTAACTTTATTTAATCAATCTGAAGGAATAATGAGAAAACGTTTTAGGCTTAATTTTGTTAAATTTCTGTATAAATAATGGAGAATACCCAGAACGGTTAGTTATCCATTCATGGCATTTTACTTTTTCTTTATTCTCGTATTTTTCTGAATACAGAACTTCGTACGTAAGTACATCAGTTCAGGTTGCCATGCCCCATCAGCACAGAGACGCAACTGTCACTTCAAATCCAGGAGTGATAGCGGTAATAGAAGTATTAGCAGTAATGGAGAAGATTAAGGAGAGAAGATATGATTCAAGAAGTATAATTCAGTGAGATGAATTTAGAACGAGAAGGATAGAGATTGTGAGGAATTCAGAAGGTTAGAATTTGAGAGAACACAACGAATGAATGCACTTGCGCCTTTGTAAACGATTCTGAGCCATGTCGTTCAACGTCTCTAACCATCGGTGACTTTCGTCTCATGAACCCCAACCAGGTAGCCTACATCTACCAACATGACCCAGTCCACTTGTTAGTGACTTCATGGATTTCTGCCATGTTTTGGTTTGGCCACCCCTATCTTTCTTCCAACCTACTCCTACACCACAAAACATAGCTTGTTGAGGCAGTCGGTGGTTAGGCATTCGTAATACATGTCCCAACCACCTCAACTGATGAAGTTTCATTACTCCATCTATTGATTTGCCATCCCTACCTAGAACTCGTTTCCTAACAACAGCATTCCTTACTCGGTTGTCCCAGGATACAAGAATTTGTGGTATATTTTGATAATTGAAAATAAAAACTCCCTTCATTTAAACACAATTGATTAGAATTTAAATTTTTTTTAGTCTGTATTTGAAAAAAAAACGTTCAAATAGGATTTCTTATTTTTGATTACTAAAACATCATCATACATTGAATGAAATCTTTCATCAAAATGTAATCTGTATACTTAGCCAACAATCTAACCAAATCAAAATAATTTGTACACAAATTTTTATTGATTTAATCAGAAAAAAAAAGAAAATGTTGATTTAAGATAACGAAAAGGATATCATCACAGTACAATTGAACGATAAACTATACCACACAAGTATATCTTTGCATTTCGGTTATTATTTCGACATTGAACATATATTTTGGACATGCTATTCATTTTGAACTCTGAAAGAAACAATGAAATTCGGTGACGTATGTTGAATATTGAGTTAAAAAAACATAATTCAATAAAACAAATAAAAATGTACCAACTTTTTATTTTTCAACTACATGTACATACAAAATTTTGGGAAATTCAAAGGCCCGGTTAAGCTTGCTTTATACTGAATATATAGTAAACTTCAGTATCAATTATTCAATGTAACAGTCTATGAGAGTACAGTTAAGCTTTGTATATTAACGCGATGAATGTACTTCGTTTTCATTTGTTTCTACTGACTTATTCTATATTCGTTTAGAAATAAATAGTAGGTTAACCTGTTCCTAGTCAGGATGCGGTTTTTTCCCTCGAAATGCAAAATGTTGCTTCAATATTGGGTTGCATCGGTACCTGAACTAGTGATAGGGAGTGAAGTCGTTGAGCGTGTTGACCACTTCACTTATCTCGGGAGTCTCGCCGCGGCCGAAGACCTGGTGAATGACGAAATCTAAGTAAGGAAAAAGAAGGCTCCATTGGCTTTTGCCAACTTGCATCACCTATGGCACAGGCGAGATATCCGCTGGCTGACTAAAGGACGAGTGTACTGCGTTGCAGTTCGCTCGGTACTATTATATAGGTGCAAAACAGGGCCGGTATGAAATGAAGATATTCGAAGGTTATTAGTCTTCGATGATAGATATCTTCGAACCATTGTTCGTATATCCTGGGTCAACCGAGTAAGCAATGCTGTCGTCAGGAAACGAGTACTAGGTAAGGATGGCAAATCAGTAGATCAAGTATTGAAACTTCATCACTTCAGGTGGTTGGGACATACTTTACAAATGTCCAACCACCGACTGCCTCGACGAGCTATGTTTTGTGGTGTAGGAGTAGGTTGGAAGAAAGATGGGAGCGGCCAAACTAAAACATGGCACAAATCCATGAAATCACTGACAAGTGGACTGAGTCATGTTGGTAGATGTAGGCTACCTGGTTGGGGTCCGCGAGACGATAGTCACCGATGGTTAGAGACGTTGAACGACATGGCTCAAAATCGTTTGCAATGGCTTAAGTGCATTCATTCTTTGTGTTCTCTCAAACCTTAACTTTCAGAGTTCCTCATCACCTTTATCTTTTTCTTTTTAAGTTTTTTTCACTAGATTCTACTTCTTGAATAATATTGTCTAATCCTAGTCTCCTCGATTACTGTTAATACTTTTACTACCACTACTACTATGGGATTTGAATTAACAATTACATCTCAGTGCCAATGTGGTGTGGCAACTTGAACTGATGTACGTACGTACGAAGTTCTATGTTGCTGATGACTGATGAATGATTAATAACCTACTCCTCATTGTTGTCCAACGATCGGTAACACTATCACCAGTCAAATAAAACTAGATCGATAGAGTAGATTTGATTTAAAATTATAATCGTAACATTTCTATGATACATGAATTCCACACTGGAATAAAATTACCATTCAGTGTTTCTAGGTTTTCAATAATCTTCTACCTAATATTCGTCTTTGATACTCTCTCTTTAAATTAATCCTATACAGCACGTATGAATAGTATAATTTGACATCATAACTAACCTTATAAACAGTGAAAAACAAAACAAAACACACATATTCAATTAACAGTTGTATTCTCTTGATTTCTATTTTGTCGATTTGAACGTATAATAATAATTTTCTGTTTCGATTGATTTGTTTTAGCGACTAAATTAGCCTGTGAACCAACTGCTTCTGAATATGTCGGTGGATGAAAACGATTCAATAATCCTTCAGTAGAATTAGTTGTTTCATCAGGCGTAGTTGTAGTAGTCGTAGTAGTAGTAGTAGTAGTAGTAGGCAGATTTTCATTCGGTAATGATTTTGGCAAACTATTCACTTTGACATGTAAACAATTATCTTCAACAGCTGATTGTTTCGTTTGTATATATTCTACAGCTCTTAAAATATCTTTTACATCTGTAATGATACAGTTATGAAATCCGTCTAGAAAAAAAAACAATACATAAAGAAGTATGACTAATTTTTGAATGGATTACAAATCAAATTGTATGTCATGAGTCTATGTTGGGGATGCTAGATCACAAGAACTCACTAGGAAAAGGTTTTAATTTTGGATTTTTGTTTTCTCGAGCATGGGCTGATCAGTTGACCTTGAGATTACATTACATTTCACACCCGGAAAATCCTTGACTCTCATTGGTTGATGTGTTATTTTAGTACGCTATTCTGGTGACTCTCACAAGGACGTTTCTATCATGTATAAATGAACTCAATTTGTGTACTTGTGAACCTCGATTTTACGGGTGTTTGTAGAATACACTTTCTACGCCTTATCAAGACTTCATGATATAGTTAGCAGGGCTTTGGACAACGGTTTAGAGTAGCCTATAGTGTTACTGGATCATTTGTCTTCGCTCTCGTTTACCGACTAAGGTGAACTCGTAATTGTTTCAAGCATATCAACTGACGAGCATATCAGTCTTTTAAAAGATTGCATCATGAAAGACTTGATTCATGTATTTTAAAAAATATGCTACTTTCTTTGAAGTCTCTACGAAACCGGAATTACAGCTGACAATGATACAGCTGATATTGTAACAAGTTTTACAAGAGGTTACTGTCAACATTAATGTACTGGAAAATTCAAGTGATGGTCGGGTTCTGCGTATACTGATGATATAATCGAGGTGTCCGTTTTTAGCTAAAATAGAATGTTTTCCTAGGTCCTAATATGCTAGGCAGATCAGTTAAAGACCATTCAGACAAAAGCGGTAAGCACGAAGTCCCAGAGCTGGTCGTACTGAGTTGTGACTGCGAGATGTTTACCTAGTGAAGCTGACATATGCAGGGTCTCTGCCTTTTTATGACGAAAGAAGGGGTTTAGACAAAATAGGGTCAGAAACTGCTTTGCTTGTCTGTGGCCAAATGATTTTCACAGCTGGTGTCAATTTTTCTAAAATACGGTGCTGTCATATCAAGAACTACTCACAAACAATTATGTGACCAGATTTGAGCAGCTATCACTTGGGCTCTGTGGTTCCTTTATCGGATACCTCTAGAAGAGAAACTTTTCTGTAGTATGGACAATGCGAAGCGAAAACCGCCTTTGCGTCGACAAAGGCACTCACCATTTTAGTTTGGTGTACTGTAATGACGGAAGACGACAAGAACAGATGGTATAAACGGTTTATTTGACGATACAATTTTACTGGGCGGAATGTAGGCATGTTATCGTCAAACATCCAGTTGCAAATAAAGTGTATTATTGGCCGTCTTCTAGTACCTAAAACACTCTAATCGCGGCAAACATCGAGATCGGGAACTCTTACTTTCAGCAGTAACTTTAGGGCGACACTTAGCTTTGAGCCCACTGCATACTACTCATAAGTAACGCTGTGAGTAGTATTCACGATTTGGAACAATGTGTTCATACTTGTCAAAATTTTACATTCATACATTTTGACATATATACATATATTTTCATATAATATCATTCCTGGCATAAAGTGGGGATTTAAATTAATTTACTTATGAATGTATTTGAAGTGGTTTACAGGAACACTGAAGATGTTAAACTTTTATGATCTCAATGAACTGTATTTGTCGTTCAGTGACAGACTGGTAGAAAGTCACATCCAGAACACTGAGGTGATTGTTTCAACTTTTTCATGACTAACTTAAATGTGATATTCAACCATATTTTATTCTTTATTTAATATTTAACTGTAATTTATCTCTAAGTTTTGAACAATAATAAGAGAGTATATAGAGTTACACAAATCTTCATTCGTTAACTGGTCGATACATTCGAATAACTAAATAGTCGACGAAATAAATTGTGAATAACTATTGATTTCGTAACGTACACTAAAATCATGTTCAAAGAAACGAAAAGTAGAAGTGTGCATCCACGACTGCTGCACCACTCAGGATTCGAACACAGGACTTTCGTTCCTGAATGCGAAGGCCTAACCCCTGGACCACTGAGCCGGCATCCAACGGTGTTCATGTCTAATAACTCTCATCAATCTACGGATTTCGCGCCACCTCAAGAGTCGTGGAGGCGCGCGGCTAATGAGTCCCGTACCAAGAGTTAACAGCCGTCCAGTTATTCTAGGTCTTTAACAGTGGTCTAATAATGATTGCAGGATGATTTCAATCTCCATAACTCTTATCGAAGGAAAGTTAGTGACAATAAGGACAAGATCACTTTCCAGTTAACTAAGTTAACCGACTTTACATTGATTTATACATTTCCAAAGTGAAAATTATATAATGATTTCAAAAATATAATTTCAATTTTTTTTCAAAATCAGACTATATCTAAATGATTATCATGAAAGATTGGAAAAATATTTAATTACTGGTTGATAAACTTCACTAATAATCCGTGTGAAGATTGTTAAGTTATACATTTCTGAAACCATGCATCGATCAATGTTAGACCACCACTAGAAACCTGGAAGCACTAGACGGCCGTCAAATCCTGGTATGGGACTCCCCAGCAGTGCACATCCGCGACTCCTGCACCCCGCAGGATTCGAACCCAGGACCTTCCGTATTTTGTGCGAACGCCTAACCATCGGACCACTGAGCCGCTATCTAACGGTGTTAATGTCTAACTTCGATCAATTCATGGAGTTGCGCAACCTCATACGCAGTATTCGGTAGTTGCTGTCTACACCCGAACAGGTTGAACTTCACTGGTCACATCTTTCCACTAGAACTCAAAGAAGATACCTCATGAAGCTAGTCACTAGTGAGCACAGGTAATTTGCATTACGGTGTTGTGAAGATTGTTAAGTTACACATTTTGGATGAGCACTGCTGAGGAGTCCCATACCAGGACGAAACAGCCGTCCAGTGCTTCCAGGTTTCTAACGGTGGTCTAACATTGATCGATTCATGCTTTCAAATATTAATTATCTGTTTGTGATTTAGTTATTCCATTGAATTAGAAAAGAATTAATTTAACTAAAAACTGTTTGTCGCGAAAAACTCCTAATAGATATAAAATCGCATCCTAACTTTCAACTGATTGAAGTTAGACATTAACACTACTGGATACCGGCCCAGTGGTCCAGAGACTGACTATTCGTGCGAGCGAAAGACCGAAGGTCCTGATTTCGAGTCCTGAGGGGTGCATGTGGTTTAACATTGATCGATTCATTATTTCAAATAAATAACTTTAACATCAAGCAAAATAAAATTCGCTTCGATTAAGTCTGTTTGTTATGTGTACGTGTTGTTAGCATTGCACAGTTTTTACCTATCCATACACACATCATACTATACAGTACATTTAATTACTTTTGAACATAATCAAAAGATATTTTATTTACGATCTGATCATTTTCAAGTGTTAATTTTTACAAGTTATATTTTATATGATGCATGAAAGTGATTTTCAACTATCTCAAGGGATATTGAGAAATTCATTTGAAGTATTTTTTAGAATGAAGACACTTCAGGAATTATTATTGATATGAAAAATCAATATTATGTCTAGTTTGATGTAAACGCATATTCATCAATAAAAATCCAAAATGTTGATTAACATTAACGTTTGAAGCAAAGTTAGTAGGATTGAGTTTTTAGACCGTCCCGGACCCGGATCCTTAGTCCGGGATCCTTATTCTCTTCTAGACTCGGACCTCGTACTTTCTCGATGTTTGTAGAATACATGTTCTTCTACTTCATATCAAGTCTTCTTCTTTTATTTAATGTGAATTTGAAATGCTTGGATTAGAGTAGCATGTCGTGTCACCGGATCCTCGATCCTCGCTCTCGTTCTCCGACTACGGTTATCTCGTAATAATTCAGGTATATCAAGTAACGTATTTACGTGCAAGCGTAACAATATCAATGCTGAGACGCAGGTAAATTCAGTCAGAGAGTTCAAAAAAAGGCAAAACATACGTTCCAATTCCCATTGTTAGCTATTACTCAACTGAACTCAGCTATACTGAGTCATTACGTAAAAGTAGATCAGTTTAACCATAGATAAGGAACAGAGTTATTTGATAGTATGACGCACAATTATTTTAAATTTACTTTACTACTTCAGTCTATCAATTTAATTCATACATCAAGCATATGTTTGTGTGATCGATTTTCAATTACATGTCATCATGAATGAGGATTAGTAAAACTGACAATCGATCTACCGTACCGCATTAGCACAGAGACGCCACTGTCACTTCCAATCCAATAGTGGTAGCGATAGTAGAAGTATTAGTAGTAATGGAGAAGATGAGGGTTCAGAGATATGATTCGAAAAGTATAATTCAGTGAGATAAATTTAGGAGGAGAAAGATACAGATGATGCATGATTCATAGCCAGTTTCTTTTCGTGTTCTATAATAATCTGTTGATATCAGTCAGTCGGTTACAATATAGAACAACATACGTTTGCACATCAGTTCAAGTTGCCATACCATATTAGCACAGAGATGCAATTATCAGTTCAAATCATACAGTGGTAGAAATAGTAAAGTATTAGCAGTAATGGAGAAGATTAAGGAGCGAAAATATGATTCAAGAAGTATAATTCAGTGAGATGAACTTAGAAGGAGAAAGATAGAGATTATGAGAAATTCAGAAGCTTAGAATTTGAGAGAACACAAAGAATGGATGCACCTGCGTCATTACAAACGATTTTGAGCTATGTTGTTCAAGGTCTCTAACCATCGGTTACTATTGTCTCGTGGACCCCAACAAGGTAGCCTACATCTGCCAACACGACTCAATCCCCTTGTCAATGACTTCATGGATTTGTGCCATATTTTGGTCTGGCCAATCCTAGCTTTCTTTCAACCTACGGTTACATCACAAAACATTGCTCGTCTAGATAGTTGATGGTTGGGCATACACGACTCATGTCCCAACCACCTCAACTGAATTTTGAGTACTTCATCTATTGATTTGCCACCCTTTCCTAGTACTCGTTTACTAACAACAGCATTGCTAACTCAGTTGTCCGACGATATACGAGCGATGCTTCAGAGACACCTATGATCGAAGCAAGCAATCTACGAATGTCCTCTAGGATATTAAGCAGAGATGAATAATGGTTAACAGAGGAGTCTATAACTCACATTCCACCTTCTTCAGGAACTTCTCAGTTCAGTGTAACGTGCATTTCTAAACATGAATGCAAAGATTCAAACAACCAATACCTATTGAGATGAGATAATATTTCGAAAAATCGCCATCAATAGTTCAATAAGTAAATTTAATTCCATGTCGAGCAATTTTCATGCATAACTGTTGTTCACAACAGTATCAATGCTCACAGTGAGAATCAAACACAGTTTTTCTGGTTTTAAATACCTAGTTTAAAATCTAGATTTATTTTTTCAGCAGTTAGTACTACAATCTAGTTTCAGAGTGAATATTAACAATGAGACCTAACTGATAAGTCCCCTAAAAAGATATGAAACTACACATCCTGAGTTTTACTTTCTAACGTCTACTCAACTTGTGTGTAACATCATTCATTGTCCAATGGTTTATTGAACAAAAAATAATCTATACATTAACAGAGATTAATCAAATTCACTCTTGCAAACTCTTGTCATACTTTTTTTTATATATCTGATAAATAATTTAGTTTTTTTTTCAGATACTTTCTGATGATAACAAAAAAGTAAACTCATATTTATCGAAGAACAATTTGTTTAACAAAATGTATCATTTCCGTAATCAAATAATTTGTGAAAACAGATTACCTACATTTGTTTATGTCATAATTGTACGTTTTTTTTCTCTAAGCATCTACTAAGTTTGATGATGTCTTTTACTATGAGAGAGCGTAATTTGATAATATCTATTGTCAAAGATAACAATCATAGTGTGGTGCGAGCTACTTATAAGTAGTATATGACGTGAGTGTCAACGTAATGTCTGGCAGCAGAAGATGTGGAGGAAGATCAAGAAAGGAAGAGTTAGAACACAATGGAATTTGTATGAAACGCATCATGAATAGTGAGTGACAATGGATTGATGTTTTGCAACAGGAACAGTCCAGTTCGATATGATGAACTGTTATTTTGCAAATTAACGATATGGTTTTCCGATTTTACTGAATAACTCTGTAATTTTCGTTAAATACAATCCGGTTGCCCCTTCTCCTTCACTACAATAGTAGATATCATTGTATATACTGACACAAAGTACTGATATACATCCAATTGGAATAATGTATGATGATTAGGTTTCAGTGAATGATTTTTAAAAAAATCAATAAAATAATGAATCGATCGTTAGAAAGCTGGAAGCACTACAGAATGACTGTCAACTTCTAGCGTGAGACTCATCTACAGCACACATTCGCCCGCTAAAACCGAAGGTCCTTAGTTCAACTCACGCGAGCGGAGGTTGTGGATGCACACTGCCAATGAGTCTCATACTAGGAGGGACTTGACAGCCTTCAACAATGCCTTTCAGCTTCAGTTGCTAGTCTCCCAAAGATCGATTTGATTATGCCAATGAAACTCTCTCTCTCTCTCTCTCTATATATATATATATATATATATATATATATATATATATATATATATATTTGAAAGCATGAATCGATCAATGTTAGACCACCATTAGAAGCCTGGAAGCACTGGACGGCCGTTTCGTCCTGATATGGGACTCCTCAGCAGTGCGCATCTACGCCTTTTGCACCCCTCACGATTCGAACCCAGGACCTTTGGTATTGTGCGCGAACGCCCTAACCGTTAGACCACTGAGCCGGTTTCTAAAGAAGTTAATGTCGAACTTGATCATATATATATATCATAAATCAATAACCGAATCAAACAAATCAATCGGAAAGAAACTTACCATGCCAACTTAGTGTGAAACCAGCAAATTGATGATGTGTTATTTCATGTAATTTTCGCATTAATTTATTCCAATCCATAGATTTAAACAATGACATTTGTAGGCGATATGCAATTGGGATTGCATATCCTGGATTATAGATAAAAAATTTTATGCCTGACATAACTTGACGATGTTTTTCTCTAATTTTAGAATAAAATAAATTAAAATGTGATATACATATGCATATATCAGTATATATATATATACACACATAAATATGAGCTTACATTTTCATAAAACCTGATTTATTCGCAGTGATTGTAACGAATGTTCCGCCAGCTAATGGTAATTTCATATTCCTGAATTGATTAAAAATCACACTACAAATGATGATGACATGGAATTTCAGGTCACAACAAATGTTCAGACTGTTCAATGAAAGAAGAACATGAATATTATATATATAGATATATCTATGCACATATACACACAATATCTAATATGCGTTGTTTTCTTTTCTTAGTTTTGATAGAGATTTGAATAAATAGAAATCATAATTGTGTATAATGTAAACACTTTATTTGCCAATGTTGTTGGTTTTTTTTTGATTGAACAGGAGGTGATTTTTGTTTGTTTGAATTTTGTGAAAGAATTTATTTGATTAAGAATGATGAAAAACTGAAAAAAATTACTACGCATTCATTTGATTTCTACGAAGTGTATATTTTGGGGCAGAGTTTTGGAGGTTTGCGTTTTTACACGCTTGAAATCATCAATCGATCATTGTTAGACCACCATTAGAAACCTGGAAGAAGCACTGGACGGCCGTTTCGTCTTGGTATTGGTGGATGTGCACGGCTGATGAGTCCCATACCAGGATGAAACGGCCGTCTAATGCTTCCAGGTTTCTAATGGTGGTCTAACAATGATTGATTGATGATTTCAGAAGTTTATATTGTTGTTGAAAATTCTTAGGTTTGTTAAACCTAAAGCTCCTTCCTGGGTTCGATCTTCAGTGATAGTATCATATATATCTATATATTTTTTTTCAGTTAGAGCTTTGGAGATTTGTATTTTTACACGCTAGAAATCATCAATCAATCATTGTTAGACCATTAGTGATTAGCTTCGTGAGGAAATTCTCAGAGTTCTAGTTGAGAAGACGTGACCATTGTGGAGTTCAACCTTGTCGGGTTTAGGCAGTAAATACCAAAACCAAATGGGTGAGGTCGCGCAAAATCCCTACATCAATCAGAGTTAGACATTAACACCTTTGGATACCGCCGGCCCAGTGGTCCGATGGTTAGGCGTTCGCGAACAATACTGAAGGTCCCGGGTTCGAATCCTGCGAGCTGCAGGAGTCGTGGATGCGCACTGCTGATGAGTTCCATTCCAGGACGAAATGGCCTTCCAGTGCTTCCAGGTTTCTAATGGTGGTTTAACAATGATTGATTGATGATTTCAAATATCTATATATGCTCTACTGAGGAGTTCTATACTAGGGACGAAACAGTGGTTCAGTACTCTGTAATTTTCAACGGTTGATTTTTAATCAGAATAATCCTCAATGTAAACTATGAGCTATGAATTTTTCTGAAAATCACACAAAGACTGTGTTATTTAATTTTTAACCGTGGAATAAAATTTAATATACAGCCATCTAGAGGAAATAACGTTGATAAAGTTAAACAACTATTCGTTTCAATCGTTGAATTAATGTACATTCTTTTTAGTCAGCAAACAAAGAACTTTAATGCATTCTAGTAAACAGTTACATTAAAAAAATTCTTTGGGTTTTTAAATTATAATTACTTACCTACTTTCACTTGTTACCCACAATAAAGCATAGGCCACCGACCAGTACTCTTCAATCCACTCTATCCCGTGCCTTCCTTTCCTTTTCTGTCCAGTGTTTATTCATTTTTCTAATGTCTTTTTCCGTTTCTCAGTGTTATGTGTTCCTTGGCCCTCCTCTTTCCCTTTGACCTTGAAGGTTCCATGTGGGGGCTTGTCTTGTCGGGTGCTTCCAGCAATGTTTGTCCTATCCACTTACAGCGATTCTTCTGCCTGGAGCCCCTCCAGGGCTACTGCCAGTCCTAAGCCGGGTTGGGGTACGAGGATTTGGCATGGAGTTGGCTACCCCATCCTGTCAAAGACTAACTAACTAAAAAAACGCTAACCAGTAAAAAAATAATTCAAATTATACATTCAATGCTTATCAAGTGATTTATCAAATAATCTACCTATTATTATCATTGTTTTTAGTATTATTAAAGATAACATGTAAATTTTCATAAAAAGAAGCCCAATTTTTCTATCTTCAACGTTTTAAAGGCCGTCGAACAGCGGAATATTCTTCTGGTTAGCAAGTTTTTTAGCTACAGGATAAGATAGCTAACTCCATGCCCAACCCACCTCCTTTATCCGGGCTTGGTAGAAGCATTAACCCTAGAAGTGCTCCTGGCGGAGTTCGCCTTTTAATTTACGAATAATATTGTTAACACTGGGATCGGTATGTTATAATTTACAAGTGTACCCATTTAATGTGCTTCAAGAACAAAACAAGAGCAAAGTTAAGACGTAACTACCACCTATTAAACTAATTCGAAATTAACCCCCAAGATCTGCTGGTTATTACATATCCATCAGTCAGTGTGCTATCTATCCGAAAATTAAATTTATTACACTATGAGTATGAAACGTCTTGTTTTTTTTATGAATTTTAACGTTCCTTATAAAGTATATTTTTACACTTTGTTGATTCAAATACATTTACTTAAAAAAGGCAGTAATTATTGCGTCAAGTTACTTACAAGTTTATTTATTTAATGACATGTTATACTGTTAACAATATATACAACTGACTTAATGAAAATTGTGCAATATGGTTGTGTTTTTTTTCTTTACAACAAATGTTCAATAAGAACAGTGTACACACGAAACGCTAAATCAAACTAATCAATATACGAAATCATATCATCACATGATGGAAGTATGAAGAATTCGCTGGAACTTGGTAAACTATCATGAAGAGCATTCATTCGATTAAGTTTTATTATTTTTATCTCTGCATAGATAGATTGAGATTATTTATCATTGAATAGTGTGAATCTAACACAACATATAAACAAATACTAAATAAAATGATAGAAATATGAAGAAATTATTGTAACAGAAAGTGTTTAGACGTTTTAAAAATCTCGTCATATAGATTCTTGTTTTGTGCTTGCCAAATTAGCGTATATTATAATTATTATTATCAGTCTACAATTGTAGAGTTCAGTTGTTGAGTTTCTTACTGATATCATCAACTGGCTGTCCAATGCTTCAAGGTTTTGTAATGGTGGTCTAACATGGATCGGTTCATGATTTCAATGAGTATATGAAGAAAAATTTGCGCGAATTTTAAGAAAACGATGCTTGAAGAGTTAGTGACTATGGGAAAATGTTCCAGCTTTCACGCCTATGAGTGAATGTGTTATGCTCATCAATTGATATGTTTGAAACTATTACGAGTTCACCTTAGTCGATAAACGAGAATGAGACAACGAACCAGTGACACGATAGGCTACTCTGATCCGCTGACCCAACTAACTGAAAGAAAAATCTTGATCTGGTGTAGAAAGTGTATTCGACAAGCACCTAGAAAATACAATGGTTTCAAGCAAACAAATCGCGTTTATTTATCCATGATAGAGACGTCCTTGGGAGCGTCACAAAAATAGCGTGCTAAGATAACACATCAACCAATCACAGTCAAGGATTTTCCTGGTGGGAAATGTAATCTCAAGGTCAACTGATCAGTCCATGAATAAGGGCATTTATCAAGCGAGTTCTTAGGATCTAACATCTTCATCATTATCTAATCACAACTAAATGATTACCATGGGATTCAATGGATCGAATCTTACATAGAAATGATTTACAACCAAGTAAATACTTATTTTAGTAGGAAAAAGTATGCCCATATACAAATTGAGAGCAACCAATCAGTATTTCTTTAAATATTCATCGTCATACCCTATAAATTTATCTTTAAGGGTTGGCTCATTGTCAGCCACTTAAATATATATGTATCATAATTAAATCAGTTCACTCAACTCAGCAGTTATTCGCTGTTACCGGATGATTTTTCCCCACTACACTTACGTTTCAATAGGAAATTTAATGAATGGCCCCTTAATGTAATCGTAAATACGAACACCTTTCAGTTTTCTATCTGCTAGGGACATCACAAAGAAAATCTAGTTTCAATAACCAGGTTGAAATACTTTTACAAACGATAACTACTGACTCATATCTTTCTCTAATTCGATTCCCCGCATAACCTTTCCTTTTTGATTGGTTGTTATTGGTTTTTAGCTCTCTAACTTTCTCTTTGCTTGACTGTCATCTCTAGTAGCATGGTTACCTGTTTCGTCAGTACTGCTCATCCAAATCCTCGAATATTAAGTCCTTTGCAGATAGTCTTTTAGCTGTGATAGCTATCGAGTGCTAATGTGTTGTGGGTGATTTGCCAATGAGAAATTCAAGAAAATCGATCTTACTAAAGTGGCTCAATCGCTTTCACTAGAACTGTAAGAAAAGATTTATAGGCTCTTACTTAAATTACAACATTAGTAAACAAATAATTTGAAAAAAAAAATGGATAGAATTTCAAACCGATTAATTTTTTTTCAAATTTAAAACTGATTTTGTTCAAAATAATTCAAAAATTTTTTACAAAATGCTAGACAATGTTTAAAAACATGACGTGCTG